CTGCCTCATAAACAACACTTCTCTAAACCTAGAAAATGGACTCTATTTTAAATGTTCCTCTAAAGCCAGTGTTACAAAAAGGACAAAATAACAATTCAGACTTTAAAAGAGAGAACCAAATTTTATTAAATTAAGCACAGTATTTTTCTCTGTCCCTGTTTCATTCTCCATCCCATCCTGTGAAACACTCTACACTCTCTGCCCCGAAACCAGGCAGGATGAACACACTAGGGAGAAAAAAGAATTAAAAACTGTAGGTTTTGATGTGCCCCTTTACAACTGACAGTATGACTGCCCTCCCAAAATACCAGCCCTGAAAGAAGAATGAAGCTTTACAAATGAATAGGCTTTTCCTAGAGTTCAGGGAGTGGAGTTGGGAGGAGGAGAAAAGAAAGGAAGAAATAAATTAATTGAAAGAATACTTGAAAATAAAGCTAACTGTGTTTAACACAGAAATGCTTCTCAGATTCAATTTTATATACCAGCTAGAAATTACATTTTTAAGGCAATCTCACCCTAAATCCACAAAGTTTCAAAGTCCATACACTAAAACATCATCTAGTCTTGTGAAACAAATTGTAGGACAGCATCTTGTGTGTGCCTGAAAAGTTAAAAAACCCAGGCAAACAAACAGCCAATGATAATTATTAAATTTAAGGGATGGAAAACCACATTAAATCAAATAAAATTATTATACCTCTCCTGTGTCCCAAGATTTAGCATGAAAACCACTGGGAAACTCCTCTGACCTGCATTATACACTAAGACAGTCTGAAGGAACACCAAGTCACTTCTGTCTCCTTCCACAAGCAGAACACTGAATTGACATTGAATATGTCAACAGAATTCCTCACATCTCAAAAACTGTAAATCTGTATTTATTTATACAATTTTAAGCTTAATTCTCCCTGAGCTTCCACCTTACAGAAGGCAGTGCAAGCCACTTGATTTGTTTGAGCCAAAATCCCATGAAAATTCAGATTCAAATCCCACACTCACTCCATCCTGGCTACACTGGAGCCAGAGGTGCAGAACTCCAGTCCATGGAGTGTGCTAGTGGTGGTAAAAATATAGGTAGCTAGGTATGAGTTTTCCCCTCAGGAACAACTGGTATTACCTCACATGCCACCCACAGATGAGCCCATCCCACACTAATTGTTCAGCTACTTTATGTTGCCAGCAGCCAGGAATAAATGAGTGTTTATTACAGTCATGAAAATGAGGGGCTAGTTAGCCTTCCTAAGTGAGATTGGTTTCACCTACGTGAAACCTCACTAATTACTTTTTCTTCTTTCAACATTTCAGACCAGCTTGCACGCACACCTCCTTCTTTTCCTCAATGAAAAGTTAGTAATTCTAATTTTCTGAAACAGCCAAGCATATAATTGTAATAATTTGCGGCTTTAGCTGTTTCCCAGAGAACAGATTTTACTCTCCTAACAATGTTCTTAGGACCTTCTTCCTAAACCTTTGTAAAATCAGAGCTCAGAATGTGATTTCACCATAAAAGTATTTTTCTTCTGTCTGTGCCAGTGTACCTGTCATACCCAGGACAAAACCAGGCAACACAACACATTACAAACACATTTGTGGAACAGTCTCCATAAAGAGTGAAGCCTAGGCATCTGCAGTAAGTTAGGAAAAAACACTAAAGTGTGCTTTGACTGAACTTTTCTTAGGAAAGGAGTCCCCCACTGTGCTGCCCCGAATTCAGCCATACCATCAGAAAGTCATAGGTACATCTTTACAGAAGGTTTTCTCTGAGCTTGCCAAGTTTCCTAAAACTATGTATTATGCTGCAATTTCTACATCTAATCCCTGATCCTCCTTTCTGATACTCTGGGACTCATTCCCAACCATGCTGCTTCACCAGCCTCCTCTCTCAGCACTCCTGTGCTCTGCTGTGTTGTGGAGTCCAGGCTCTGCCTCAGCCCAGACTCTGGGCTTTGACTCTGGCACACCGGCCCTTCCCACGTTCCACATCACAGCCGGGCATCCACACCCCTGCCTTGCCCTCAAGATTAATGTGTTTGTACTTCTTTGGTCTCTGACCTTGGGTTTTCCTGACCCTGACTGTGACCTCCTTTCTATCCCAGCCGCAGCCTGACCCAAGAACGAAGCCAAACCCACCAGCGTCCTGGCTCCAGCAGCGTGTGATCAGACTGCTGTGAGTATCTGTGGGGATAATTAACCCCAACAGGGGAGGAGATGGGCAACCATTAGTTGATGGTCTGTTTTCAAGAAGACAAGCAGAAGTCAAGCAGCACTGCAAGTATTCTCACAGATCAGCAAGAACACGGTGGTGCTCACTGCTCCCATGTCTGCTTGTCCGCTGGGAGCAGCAAAGCTCTTTGGAGTTCCTCTCCCTGAGTCAGGTGCTTCATGTGGAACACCAGCAATAAGGAAAGACCCTGTCAGCAAAAAGATTTATGGTATTTACTGACAGTATGTATTTGGGTTGTGTGGAAAGGTTATGGTGGTGGAAGGGCACAAGGATAAGAAGCTGCTAGAAAGTTCCTGTGTCCAACAGAGCCAATGCCAGTGGAGTCCAAGACAGACATGCTGCAGAAGAATGCCGAGCCCATCAATGACCATGGTAGTGCCTCTGGCATAACAGAGCTAAGAAGGGGGAACTGCAGGTGGAAAGAAGGGTGAGAACATGCAAAAAAACTCTGCAGACACCCAAGTCACGGAAGAAGGGGAGAGAGGAGGTGCTCCAGGCTCAGGAACTGAGAACCCTCTGCAGCCCGTGCTCCTGCAGCCAAGGAAGGTCCATGGTGAAGCACAGATCCACCTGTAGCCCATGGAGGACCCAAAACCATGCTCAAAGGAGGCTATGACCCCTCCACACTGGAGCAGGCTCATGGCAGGACCTGTGGGCCCCCATGGAGAGAAGCCCAGGCTGGAGCAGATTTTCTGGAGGACCTGTGACCCCATAAAGGACACACGGTGGAAAAGTCTGTTCCTGAAGGACTGCACCCTGTGAAAAGGGAACCCTCTGGTGAAGAAGGGGAAGAGTGTGAGAAGTCCTCCCCTGAGGAGGGAGTGGCAGAGACAACATGTGATGACCTGATAGTGCTGCTGCAGAGGAGTAGGGAGAGAAATATCACAGAATATCACTTCTGAGTGGGAGGGACCCATAATATTGAGCCCAGGAACAGGGGAGGAGTGGAGGAAAGGTGTCTAAAGAATTGGATTTACTTCTTGTTATCCTATGCTGACTTCATTAGTAATAAACTAATTTCCCCAAGCCAAGTCTATTTGGATGGCAATGGGTGAATGATCTCTTCTTGTCCTTATCTCCACCTACAAGCCTTTTGCTATATTTTCTCTCCCTCATCCAGCTCAAGAAGGGAGTGATAGAGTGATTTTGATGGGCACCTAGCGTCCAGCCAGGGTCAACCCAAAACACAGCAGAAAAGTGACAAAAATTTTGATCCTTTTTCAGGTATTACAATGGATAAATTTTTGTGGAAACATATTATTCTGATATAACACTGCTCTCCCAGCTGTTTTTTCCATCTCCAGACCAGTCCCTTTCCCTAATCTGAATCCTGATTACTAGGCCACACTGCGCCAGTTCTTGTCATTTCATAGGGGTTTTATCCTACTCCTAAAGTTTTATCCCAGTACACCAACTCTCTCCCATCATCCCAAGACTCATTACAAACAACATTGCCTATTTTTATACGAATTTATCAGAAACATTTGGCTTCAGTACACCTTTTCCCCCTTCATCTCAGCAGTTCTCAGGTTCCCTGTCAACATATTCTCAGTGTTACTGCCTAGCTTTGCCTTCAACACCCCTTCACTTCCCTTTCTGATTCTCAAACACTTCCTCCTCATCCAGCCAATCTTGATTTCTTTAAACATGTGCTTTCCCTTTAGTTTCCAAGCCCTCAGAATCTGTTATGGCCAGTCCAATCTCCTTCTCAGTTTGTTCTACATCCTTCACTCCAAGACTCCCTATCTTTCTCAGCCTCCTTGTTTACTCCCCCCATGATGATTTCCTAAATCCAACCAGTAAAGTCATACAGTCACACACACAGGCACCCTTAAAATCCTCCTCAGCTTCAGTGTGTTATCTTCAGGAGGGTTGTAAGGACCAGGGGGAACAACTAAAGGTTGTACAGCTGCAGGCTGTAACAGAACCACAGGGGAGGTGGAATTTTAGCAGTGCAGCACTACCAAGTTTCTGAGCGTGAATAAACTAGAAGTTTTGGGTCTTAAATAGCTTTGGCTAGTTTCTGAAGTGACAGCAAAGACGTAAACTCAAGATTAAAACTGTTCCTGCCAAGTACAAAGTAATTAGCCAGCAAGGATTTAAAAAAAAAAAAAAGAAGCAATCAAGAACAATGTTTTCACAGTATATTTCCTTCTGCAAAAAAAGTAATCGCTTCAGCTGTGTGGCTGATGCCAAAAACTGCCAACAGCTGGACTAAGGGGACAGAGTAGTCTTCAACAGCTGCTCATCAACAAGCCAAAGTTTCAGACATATGACAGAAGTCTGGTAAAGCACTAGGATACTAAATTGTGTCACAGAAACCACTTGTAAATCTCAGCAGATTATAAATTTCACCTATAGTTACTTAAAACAATAAAATAATATAATTTGTCTAAAAGTATCTGCTGTTTCCTGTAATTTGTTTCTAAAAGTGACTCTTCCTTCACTGCCGGTTTTAACCTTGGCAAGACTTTTAACCTTCATTTTGCCACCACTAACCCCCAGCTCCCAAGGGGATGCAAACAAGAACTTTCATGCTTACACTCAACTGTTGCATTGATACATCTGGCTTTAGACCAACTTCTTTAACTTCAGACAAATTTCATATGGATTTGCTGTTACCAAACACAAAGTAATTGACTGCATAATTTCCAGCCTCTTTTGAGACCAAGATTCTTATCATAAAGCCAAACTCCTCTTTTTAGTAATGAACCAACAGTTTTGTAAACGAATAAAATTAAGTTCTAGCATCACATCAACCATACTCCTACCATACCTGCATCAGAAGGCCATAAATTCAGTCAAGGCTCAAACTACCCAGCTGTGTATTGATGAAATGTTCCTGTGTAAAGAGAAAAAAAAAAAAGCAAAAGATGACCTCCACGTTTAGTCTTGGCAACGAGGAAAATAAAGTCACAACAGCAAAAATTTCACAGGAAAAAAATTAGGTCATCTAATACCTCTTGTCTTCTCAGGCTATTAAGAAGGATACTTCCTAGTGCTGTGTCCACTCCAACTGTGACTCAACTTCCTGATGTCTGACCTGCCCTCTCTCAAAATACTAATCTAGTATTTGACTTCTCCAGAAATCACTCAGTGAAGTAACTGGAAAGTATGGCTTTCAAAGTAACAAATACTAGCCTTCATGTCTCCACTTCAGATTTTTAATCACTGTAAGGATAACTAAACACACTGCAGTGCAGACTTCCAGCATCCCACAGATGATGGTCACTGCATTACAGAGGAATTAATTCAGAATCTATTTTAAGCTCATGGACACTCAGTTTTGAACATCTGAGCTGGGAAAGAGAAGATACAACCTATGGCCATTTGTCCTACTCTGCAATTCCCTCCAAACACATTCTGTCTGTTAGAAAACCAAAACTATTCATTTACATATTTTCAGCCATAGGTAAGTAAAGAGCTTTATTTTTTTAAGCCAACATCCTGGGCTTAGCTCGGAGATGTCAATATTCAAATTTGTTTAAAAAACTTATTTTTTAAAAGTACACTGCAGTCACCACTTACAATCTGTAAGTGCAAAACCACCAATTTTTTTTCCTCCATTAAAGTTTAAACTAGAGGTTAGAAGAAAAAGAAAGCTATCTCAAAATCACAAAATATGTTTCAAGAAGTTGATTCTCTTTTCTTTTTTAAATATGACAACAATATTACTAATCAAGTAGTACCTCACAGAAAAATAAACCTGGTGAACCAGTTGCTCTTGTTTTTTATGGGAATATGAAGGAAAACTATCTAAGGCTAAACTCACTTAAATTGGAACAGAAGCCAGGCATTTGCTTTGATTCCATCACCCCTCACAAAGCAGGAAAGATAAGTCAATAAACTGACCCTTTAAGAACTGTCTAGTTCGGTAATTGTCATTGGTATCCAGTTGGCATTAAAAAAAAGTAGTCATGATCATGACCTTTGCATTTCTGCAAACATTAGCCATTGTCAGGAGGAAGAGCCCTTTGGCCTCATAATTCACATGCTGTTAGCAACCAGCAAGAACACAGCGTGTGTCAGTTACTAAATAATGTAAGAAAAATACGATGTCACACTCATACCCCACTGCTCCTGTGCACAACCATGAGCATTGAACTAACCTGTATTACACTCAAAACTTTAGAAAGATGAACATTAATCTGTTTTTTATATTCATGCGACTTTTTCAACTACATTATTACTACTTTGTGGTAAGATGAAGGATTCTTTGGCTTTTTTGTATTATTTCTAATTATTTCGTACTATTTGTGTTTGCCTGGCTTCCAAGAGAAACATGGCTCACATTACATGTTTTCTGTCAACCACCTCTTAAACCCACAATTCCATGCAAATGAAACAGAGGAACAGAGCTCTGAAAAATATTTTAGCTTCTCAATATTCATGAGGAAACTTAGCCACTTAGGCAGGACATTTGACTGTGTAATGGTAGCACAACAGGAAGCCATTGGAAGAGCTGATCCTAACCACATCCTAAATACAGGCAACACTTTAAATCAGAGTTTATCAACAAAGAAAGAGACAAATCTTTAGGAAACTAGCTTCTCTAGTACTGGCACCCCTGGAATTTATTTTATTACCTATCAAACCAACATGGTGCACACAAGGCACATGTATGCTGCTTTCATCTGGCTCACTGCCTGCAGAAAATGCACTGTGAGCATAGGGCAGACCTGGAACACTTTCTGCAGTCCACCTCGCCCAACACGGTGACCCACACTAATCAAAGAAGGACAATGGAGTGGTCAGATCGACCTAAAAAGCAGACATGGGGCTGCTTTCCCTAGAGGCCAACAGCAGATACTCAGAGAAGAACATAAACTCTGTGATATTCCTGCAGTCATAAGTATCTGAAATATTCTCCCAACCTCCACTGATGTGCAGCTCAAGGCTCATTTAAGAGGAACCATACATTTATCCAGCTGCTTTAGAAAGCACCATGCCTGGGACCTAAGAAAGGAGTGTGATAACCTACCTCACACTGGTAATTATCACCTTTTGTTTGCATTCAGCACAGCCCCTGCTAATTCCATTTGATGCTCCTCAGCTCTTTTCCTCCAGAAGACACGAACAGCTCTCACCTTCTGCCCCACAGTATTTTATGGACCTCAGCTGTCTGACTTGGAGGGCTGAAGTCTAGTCAGTGTAGCTGTTCCTTACATAGTAGTAGTTGTTCTACACTTGGCTCAACCTTACTTCTTTCTCTGTATTTTTTCAAATCTCAATATGTTATCACTGAAGCAAGAGGAAGGAGACAAATTGCACATGATCTTCAAGATGTAGGTATCCCAAAGATGCATGTGCATGGCAGAATAATTTTTTGCTTTGGTTTCCTTTTTTTATCCCATTAATGCCTCAACATTTGCTTTTCTTTGTCTTTTCCCCCCTACCATTACAGACCATTAACCTAGCACATTAATGGCATTTTTTTCTGGGCAGTAGCCCATTCAGAGCATCTATACAAAACTGACACACATCCATGCACTTTCTAAGATATATACTGAGATATTTCCAAAAGAGAACATTGTATATTCCCTGAACTGCTATTCCAGTACATGACCAGGATGGAAAAGTGTTAGGACAACTGGAATTCAGCTCTATCCTTCCTCTTGTGTTATTACAGTATGATTGATTGTTACAGTGGTTTGCAGTGAGAAGGAAGATATTGCATGTGAAAGAGAGATAATAAACCATAGGCCAACTTAAACAGACTAGGAATTCTGTACATGGCAGCTGAACAGCCCAAGAACACAACCAAGCCTCTTTGTCAACTCGTTCTGAAATTTCATACAAACCTGGGCTGTGTTCAACTATAACAAGTGTGTACTATATAATAGGTTTCATTAGAGAAATTTCAGTACAAAAGAGGATTAAATCATCACTGTGTGAAAACCAAAAGATAAGGTGGATTTCTTCTCTCTCCTCTCCTGCAGGCTGGCAAGGATCAGTGAAATTAAACACTGCCCAAGGCAATTGTTAAAAGCAGTTTGGCCATTAAAGTCATGTCATCTGGTGACCCAACTGACCTACATTAAACCCAGGCTAAAGGGCAATGTCATCTTTCTTTTCCTATAGATAGCATGACTTTGCATCTTCAGCACAGATGGAAGACAACCCCCTTGGCCTTCTGGTTTCCACTGGTTTCCTTGCTGCAAACCAAAGTTAGTTGCAACTGATCTTTTGTACTCATTTGGCCTTAGGAGTAGTTTTGTTTTGTGAAACAGAGCGAAAACCACCGAATTTCCTCCTATAAGGTTATTCAGCTAATACCTATTTAACCAGAACTCCATACACTTAATGAAGAAAAAGATTAATAGGCTGATGCAAATATTACAAAGATTGTCTATTTAATTTTCACTGGATACATTCAGTTTAGATAGTCTGAATAAATGAGATGTGATAATAAATTTTCTATTATAACATTAAGTGTCAGACGAAGAGGTTACTCAGCGAATAATTTACTTTAGCTCTCGTGCATGACCAACAGCTTTTCCACACAGATTTGAGAGCTGCCATGTCAAAAAATGGGACATTCTTTAAGAATTTTGTGTGGAAATTCCACAAAGTCAGTTTATAGGAAAAAGAGAGGATGAGAAAAGAATAGGCTTGTACTGCTTTTCATCAGTCTCTCTTTTATGCAGTTATTGAGGAGAACCCCCACAACATATTCAGTCAATGTTTCTTATATAGCAAATATAGCAAATGGTGTTCAGCACAGGCTGCTTGAAGAAGATATAAAGTAGTTAAATCTTGCAGCCTTAAAAGAGTTCTTGAATTATTTCTGTGTTCAGTTCTCCCAGAGAAAACCACTTCATCAAAACCCAAAGAATATTCTTACATTTCATTCCATCTCTCTTCAATGTGGGCTTCAAGATACAATACTTTTTATATTGCAAGAATTTTCTCTGCCAACACAAGACACTTTGAAGACCTTCCAGTGTGCCAGAAATTAAAATTATAGCTTGATCCTGCAATGTCTGTGCCTCTTCAGCAGCCATCATTGTCAATGGGAATAAACTGGTAGGCTGACTAATGGCTCAGGAGAAAAAAATTGCATCTGCCGCAGATAATGCAAATTTATAACTCATTTATGGGTTATAAATACTATGCAATTAGTCTAGAAATTATATGTCTACTAAAGCATTAAGTTGTTTTTATCCACAAAGAATAAAAGTCATTCCCTTGTTTGAGTCAGGAGCACACTAAACATTCCAGCAACTAATTCATCTTGTTGGTTTTAACCACACTTTCAGTCTTCAAAATCTTTTAGGACAACTGCAGAAACCCATGCCATCTGTAAGAATGCAAACAGCTAAGTCAACTCAGAGTTTAAATTCAATTTGCTTTTAACAGCCAAACCATACAGAAAAAGAAACTCCTTCTGTTTTCTCTGGTGCTCAGCCACAGTTGGTTCTTACTGAGGTAAATACCCTTTTCCTCACTGAAGGGTAATAACTTACTGTTGAAAGATCTAGAGGTAAGTAATAAGTAAATTACTCTGGCTGCTATTTAGAAATAAGGGCATTCAAACATCTTCCATTAAAAAAACCCCAAACCAAACAAAACTAAAAAAAAACCAACAACAGGCGCAATGCTTAAAAAAATAAATATTAAATCAAGGTTACCAAACTCTGATCTCAAATTCACTGTCAAGACTGGCACTCCTACTTATGAAGCACCCAGTAGAATCTCCTAGAATCTAATCAGTGACCAGCACATTGGAGGGAAGAACATGTACCTAATCACTCACTTAAGTTTAATTTTCATATAATTTTATTAACATCTTTCAGTTTGTCTGAAATAATAATTTTGATGAAAAGGAACCTATCCAACAGA